ATTCAGGTAGTAGGAAAATTACTTGGTATAACCGATACTGTCGGTAGTGATAATAGACTGCTTCTTGCTATACTAATGTGGATGCCGACCAGCACATCCAAAAAACCCGCTATCCAAACAGCCACACCGCAAGGTGAATCAAGCATGCATGAAAATTAGACTGGCTGTATCATGTCTCAGAAAAGTGTATGCAACGAAGAATGAGGCTCTAACCTGACAATCGCATGCCAGGCACTGTATCTATCATAACTGCAATCGTCTTCCCGCGGCGTCATGCCACGGATACACACAAGCAAGTAGAATGACAACGAAAAAGAAATTAAAGCAACCCATATTAAGAAAAGTAGCCACCGGCACAGACCCGGTTCGGTCTATCAACAAACAACGTATACACAAACAGAAGCTCGTTCCCCATCGTGTGATCTCGTTCATCGTCACTCAAACGTCATCTGGATTTCCTCTTCTTCGCCGTGGCCAAGGTCATGCTCGGCCCAGGCATTTGGCTCCAGAGCCATAGCGCCTAAAGTACTGGCCCCGAGGGCCGGCATCGTGAGGGAAGACCGAAGCTCAGGCCTTGTGGGGTGTACATCGTGAGAGGCGGCGGGCTCAAAGGACGACTGAGAACGAGGCGGGGTCTCGTGGAAGGACGTATCGAAGGTCATTTCTACTGCTTCCTCTCGATGCACAGCCGCATATGCTTCAGTAGTAGGACTGTATTCGTAGGGCGTCGCAGAAGACGCACGAGGCGGAGGCGCTGGGGTTTCAGGGCTCTTCAGCTCTTTGCCGGTTGAAGCAGGGGCAGATGGAGCCGGGCTCGCTGGTGAACTCAAGTCTAATTTCATCGGGGGAAGTGTGGATTCAAGCTGCTTGACTTCGATGCTCTCCGAGGCTAACTCGGCCCGGATAGCATCGATATCGAAGAGCACCGTTCCGGAGGCGTTGGTGTCGCTGGAGCCTCGGCGCATGGCATTGTTGCGTTCCACGTCGTACGTTTCCCAGCCTTTCTTCTGCGCCAACTTTCCGCGTTTGAACAAACCAAAACGCTTCTTCTCCGGCTTGAGCTCAGCCTCTCGTCGCGCCTCGTCAATCTCGCGGATCAGCTCCCTTTGCCGCTCGGCGTGGTTCTCAGGATCAGGATCCTCAATTTCGGCGAACTCCTCGCTCAGCACTTCCCAGCCGACTTCCTTCAACAGCCGAGGAATAGCTGCACGGTAGTCCATGTGGCCATTCACAATTTTGGTGACATCGAAGTTCTCCAACCCGGGAACCCCCTCCACTGGCGCAAGACCAGCCACCCGCATGATACCACCACTCGTGGCGCGGAACAGATACCCTAAAATCCAGTCGTTGGAGGCGAATCCATTGACAAACCGTCCAGATACCACGCTACGGGCTTTGAGGTACTCATCTCGGTTGGCCACAATCGGAGACCCGAAAAGATACACGTTCTGAACCAGCCCATGGGCACCCTTGTCTGCAAGCTCTTTCAAGCAAGAGAAGATGACTCGCGAGCCGAGTGAGTATCCGAGAAGAGTCACCGGTCTCTTTCCCAGATTGTGGTCTCGCAACGAGTCAGCCAGAATCAGTCCGGCCGCATTCGCACGTGTAAGCGATACGTTCCAAGGATTGTCGATCAAATATGACAGCTTTGTCAGGACAAGGGGAAGTTGCAGTGAAGCCATCAGGGCAACTAGAACTGTCTGGCCAAGGACCTGCTGCAATCCCTGAGTCAAGGCCTATTCAAGCGTGTTAGTGTCCGCGTGAGCGTATCGGAGTATAATATCGCTGCCTACCTCCGTAGCGAGAATGTTAATAGTGTCACCCATACTTCGGAGCATCTCAGGCTCCCACAGAACTGAGTACAAATCACCCATGATAGGATCGACCGTACTGAAAGGCAATCGGACATCATCCACCTTTCCTGTCATCCAACCAGCGACGGTGATAATCAGATTGACTCTCTTGTTATTATGTAAGGGGCGGTATTCAAAAGTCTGAACAGGGCCCGTCCGTCTCTGAGAAGCTCTCAGCCCAATGGTACTTCCAGTCAAGGTGGCACCGGAGGCAATCAACGCTGTACCTCCAGCACCGCCCAGAAACGCGCTCGTCCCCGTAATCCCGACTGTGGTGAATCCCGCCGCTATACCAGCGCCGATGACCGGGGCCAACAAGCCAGCCGATAGGCCTATCACCAAGCCACCACCGACAGTGGCTAAGCCCATAACCATATACTTGCGTTTAAGGGCCATCTTCCGCCGCTTCTCCATGTGCTCCGACTCGTCCCATGTCTCCTTCTCTGCAGCCTCCTGCATCTCAAGGGCATCAATGACCCGCTTTTCGAAGCGGGCAATTTGCAGCCATGACACTTCCATCGAAGCACCAACCCTTTCGAGCAATGTCCGCGACCGCGCATCATAGGCCGAGTCTGCAATAAGGACGAGGAATAAATCGCAGAGCACTGTCCACCGGAGATCAATGTCAATCTTCGCGGAAGTGGGCAGCTGCGATGGCGTTCGGACCTCTGGCAAGTCTTCCCCTTCGTGGGTTTCATATGGTGGAGGGGACGTTGATCGGGAGGACCTGTCCATTTCGGTGGATATGCTACTCCGGTAGTCCTCCCTGAGTCTAGGGGATGCAGGCGAGGACATGGACTTCTTTGGTGTTCCGGGCTCGTCCGCCAAAGGATTCGCAACACGAGCGTTACTCATGAGCGGTCGGACAAGGTCTGCCGGCTGCACGCCATGTTCAGCCAATTGCTCTATCATCACCTGCTCCGCGGTGTCGATTTCCATGTGAGAATAGAGTCTGGCCATCATTGCTTGGCCCCACTTGCGCATAGCATCGATGCCAGCTTGCCTTGCCTTGCGTGTGCCCTTGATGGCTGGGATCTTATTCATGTCCAATGTCATTTGATGAATAGTCAGCCTGGTCACCCCAACATAGGCTATTCTCTGGCTCTCAGTAAGAAGGTCCTTTGTCGCCTGCATTTGGCTCACGCGGTCGCGCAGCTCCTCTTCTACACCAGCGGCGGTGTCGGCGGAATCTTTAAAAAGATAGCTTGTATCTTCATCCAAGCTGGTTGCTGATTGGGCATCTTCGTCAAACTGCACGCGAGTGTAACCCTTTCCTGCACCACCTAGACCACTGTACACAGCTTCGTTATCCTCCTGCTTTGCTCCACGGGCAACCAGCCGGCCATAGTCATCATAGTAATCGAATTCCCCCAAAGCGGGCATTTCTTTCCAACCCCCATCGTCCTCTTCTTCCTCGCTTTCGTCATCCGAATGCCCGGCCACATAGAGACGCTGATGAGACCATTCGGAAGGCTTCACAGATGCACGCTTTTTCTGCATGGAGGAACGATCGGCACTAGTATCGGGATTCTCCTGAGTAGGACTCTCTGTGTACGGCGGTGGAGGCTCCTCTTGCGAAGGACGGGACGGGTGGTCGGAAAGAGCACGCTTTTCGCTAGCCGTCGATGTCTCTGGGGCTTGCTTGGGAGAGAGACCATGATTTTGTGATGCAGATGTCGCAGACGGCAATGACGGACCCTCGTTCACTTCCTCAGCCGCTCCCTGGGGCTCCTCCACAGGATCTTCCGGACTCGAACCCTCCGGAGAAGTTGCTTGACCTTCTCGTTTGCTCACATCACCACTATCATTTGCGTTCCCTTGTGATTCACCGGCTTCGTGAAATACCTCCTCGCTCTCCGAAGACTCCCTCTTAGGACGCACGCGGATCGGCAATCCAAAATCGTCGAATTCCTCCAGTGTGGACTCTATAACCCGGCCCGAACCTGACGCCTGCTGAGATGCAGGTTGTCCTCCATCTGGTCTGACGTTCTCTTTCTGTGTGGCAGCATTGTCGGGACTAATGGTGCTTTCCGTGGCCGCAGCCGGAGCCGAGAGGGTCGGAGTATTGGAGGGTTGTGAGATATGTGGTTGATCGGCAGAGTGGTCGACAGAATGGTCAACAGCCGGACTGGAGACTGAGCTCATTCTTCATTGACGTGTCAAATCAAGTGCATGCAGTTGCCTCGTGCCGTTCTCTCGGTTTCCTTAATACCACCGTGCAAGTTCCGACATGAATGGGGCCAAAGATGACCCATTCGTGCGAAAGCGCACTTGGGTGATTATGGCTGATCTTGCACTGAGTTGCTCCCTGGACACTGTTCTATCCCATGTGCCTGACAGGGAAGCTGAATCGTGTCGGGGTCCCCGGTAGGAAGCTGGTAGATATAAGACGATAAATGGACTGGGGTAGTGACGGAAGTGGGAGGGAAGGGTCAAGGTACTTTTGCGAACGGCGGGGACGGAGCAGTGACGGCGCAAGAGGAGATGGGATTTCAGTTGATCATCGAAAGGAAATAGGAGAATATTCTAAAAGTCGATTTAGTCTGTAGGTAGTGGACAGGATTGAAAGGATGGCTCCTTTTTCTCCTGCTGGTTGACAGTCAGCCCAGGTGTAATCGGGGCCGATTGGGAAAGCAGCCTGCGACCGGGAGACGTGGTGCCGCATCTGGGGAGGGAAGTGGGCAACCACCTCTCGGCCTGTCTCTGAAAGCGGTCATCCCCTTCCTGCGGAGGCAATCCCCTCATGTTGATCGCGGATTTTCTGATTCATTCCCCCCGTCCAACGGCCTCTCCAGATGTAGAGTTTAATATGCCATCGAATTAGAGCGACAGGTCTTCGGTTTTCGGTCGTGCATGGACCATTGTTGGGGTCTTTTCTCGATCGCCAGCCAGCTCATGCCATAATAACAGTTTCTTTACATAGCTCCCCTCCCCGTAATCCCAATACATGGCTGGGGTCACTGGCGATTAGTACTTCACTAGGCTACCTTTTGCATGGTCGGATGACCACAAGCCACTTTCTTCAGCGTCACCTTGATTGGAGCTGAAGACGCTCTTAAGCACTACGGTTTATGTCAAGGCTCAAAGCTTGATTTTTGACAGCTGATGCAGGACCGAGCACGTCTCGAGTTGTACCGCGGCTGTCCCATCCGCCGCATCGTCTCAAATCAAGTCAGTTTGATAGGGGGGTCTACCAAGATGCGTCAAGCTACCCGGAAACTTGAGTCGCCACTACCTGTAGATAATCACAAGGCTACAAGTAGCAGTCTGGTGCTCTGCTGTTGAGGCAGGCATATGGTCCTCTCAACCTTTTATATCTTCATGTCACCACTCTCATAGCGTCGGATAGCAATTCAGCGAGTCCCATCTTAGACAAGCAATGGCAGCTGGGCTTGCAAATGGGATATTGAACAGATAGATCCAGTGCTCTCAACGAACACAACATTAGGATCATGCGAGGGTGTAAGAGCTTCCACAATTCCAACAACGCATACCTAGAGGCTTCCTATAAAGCCTGGTAGGGATATGGCACGCCATGTGGCTTGATAGAGTCTTCTGATGTGTTCTATGATTATATCAAGTCATGAGACTTACATCGAAGCAAGAAATAGTTCAGAGTAAGCACAATATACATACCAAAAGATCCCAGGAATTCGAGCCTAGAACAGCAAGGCTGGTGGTCAATTGAGATTGTCCATCGGCAAGGGGACGAAAGAGATTCGGCCCGATTCCGAATTGTCGGCCGATATCCAGAGACACTGGAACGGAGCCAGGCCAATTAATTGCTCTTGTGCAGTCCCGCATAAATATCGTGTATGCCCAATGTTCATGACAATCTCGCGATCATCAGGCGATCCCCTCTGATGGTCTGTTTATCCGTGGGTCAATCGCTTGCTCAGTGTGCAGCTCCACATGGCCAGCGGTACCTCCCAACAGTCGAACTTGCAGCTGCACAAGACCACCATCCACATGGTGACTAGGTCGGAAACAGCAAACCATCTTCCAAGAGCGAGCTTGGGGAGCCTTGAAAGACTCCACATATTCCCCTTTCGGAGAATCCCGACAGCTGTGGATGTTGGTGTTGGGGCCTTGGGGGAAATAAACCCCAACTGGATGTCGGAGGTTTCATGTCTACCGAGCCCCCGACGGAGTAACCTCGAGAGACCTCGAGCATGCATAACGCTTACTGTGGGACAATGTTCTTAGTCACGTAGCCCCATCTTGGACACTTCTTCCCCTTCTTTCTACTGTGTGCTCTTATCGAGTTCTCTCTTTTCTTAAGACTCCTTGTCGCAGTGCTCATCAAATACTGGCCGTCTGGCGTGCCTGCTTCTCCTTATGGCAGGCGGATGAAGTTGATCGGGAGGGCTTTTCATGTCTATGCTAATGTATGCAAACAGATGGTCACTTCCAGGTGGTCCATCTTCTCTATCTAGATTCGAGGGCTTTCCAGCGACGGCTTTTCAGAATCCAGGCAAACTGGGCATCGCGAAAATACTTCCATCCGGCATCCACTCATCAAGCTCCATACCCGTTCTTGCTGGCGATGGGTTTCCTTGCTGACCGCTCTCTGGCGGGGTTCGCTGTTGCTGTACATCATATCCATAGTGAGGAGGCAGCATTGCAGGCTGGTAGCCGGCAAAAGTATTCATGTGAACCATGTTTTGATAAGCTCCGCTCTGGTCGGGTTGCCATATCTGTTCCGTCGTTGGTGGCACGCCGTAATTGACATTCATCGCTTGGAAAGGGACCATAGAAGAGTACTCCGCCTTCATTACAAGTGACGCACTTGGCTGTTGTGGGTCAAATGGCAGCGGATTCTGAGAAGCGGCATGACTCGGAGAGATTGGCGTACCAGCGCTCAACTGAGGAACAAGCCCAGCATTTCTCTGCATCTGTTTCTGCTCAAAGCGATCATACCAATTTCGAGCCTTGATGGCGACAACAAGATACCATCGGCTGGGGATCTTGTACTTCTGACCACCGCTTGCCTCCGCTAGACGCCGGGTCATTGCGTCCAGATATTTCTCGACATTTACGGACTCGGCAGTCACAAACTCCCCTAGAGCGCCAGATCTAACGGAGAAGTAGATTTTGAGCAGAGACAGGACCGCTACTCCGACCCGGGTGTAGATGAGGTTGGGGATCTTCCGCAGCATCTCCGTGTCGCAGCCTAGGAAGAAGTCGAGCATCTCGTGGGCGGCGTTCAACCACTTGATCGTGAAGTCTACACGGACCGCACTCAGTGGCGTGCCTTTGGACTTGTCACTGTTCTCCAGTGATGGGAGAGTATAATATTGTTGCTTAATCGCATCAGGATCGCGATAACCTTCTCCGACAGCAAGCTCATAGATCGCGAGGTTACTGTAATGGTATTCGAAATTCATGGGAACTGATGTATGGTATTAGCTATTATACGTGCCCACATTGACCGCTTCAGGAGAAGTTTACCTGTATGCATCTCCATGGATAGATCTTTCTTCCATGATTGCATCCGGTTGTCAAACCACCTCAAAACGGCTTGCAGCCGCGACTCGGTGAGCGGGGCAGTCGAACTCGTGTCATCGAGTCCAAAGGATGTCATCGCCTCATCGACTACTCGCTGAAGCTCAAACCAAGTGGCCATGTGTCTATCGACTGCATTTGGTGAGCGCTCTAAATGCTTCACACACTCGCTCATCCAGTCATTGAAGAGAAGCAAATTCGGCCGGCGTGTTTTCATAGCGACACTGTCCTCCGTTAGCAGGTCAGTCTCAACAGCATCCGCATTGAAGCTTACATGGACGTCAAATGATAGCAAAACAAGATCGCTCTCGCTTGTTCCGCCATTGGCTCGTCATATGCTGTCTTTCTATTTGTCCTGCGACTGGAGCTTTGGGGCACTCGTCGTTTGGAAGCCAACCCAATTTCCAGGGCCATCGTGGCCGCTATATGAGTATACTGATAGAATTGCAGTTTCAAAGGAGAGTCGGGCGGGAAGTAGAAGACAATCATGAGCAGCAATGCCTGGACTAGTTCCAAGGACTTGTCCCCATTGATGAAGAAGCGTTCGGCATACACTCGAATCATCTCACGGTTGAGAGCAGCGGCTAGGTTGGCATCCAACGAGACTGCTGCTGCGGCAATGACTGAGAGAAACAGCACTGGCTTCGAGCAACGCAGTTGGTAAGCAGTTGTATCTGGAGGTAGTACAACGATTGGAGCAAAGGCCGTGAGCTCAGTGATAAAGAAGGCGACTAAATCGTTGGCATATTCCAGTGATATCAAGCCTTGCCCGACGACATCCCTTTCTAGAGTTGCTTCAAGCGAGTAGCTCGACGATACAGGATTGGAAGCTAAGCCGGGAGCGGCACCACCGTCGAAGGTATTCGAATATGGAGGGGTTGAGGAGAAGCCGGGTGAACAGTCCATGGGTCTAGCTGACCCCGATGCGCTGCTTGGAGGATCTGTGCCTGTGGGTACCGAATCATTGATACTCGGCCCTAGGTCGGGTTCCCGTGAGTCCTCTCTTTCGCTGCCGACGCTTTCGGCACTGCTTTCATCCACGCGTAACCTGTCCTTGAGTAGAGAGCGCATCTGTCGCATCTCTCTCTCTAGCTGAGCGACCCGCGAGTCAGTCCGCTTGCGTGGCCGCCGCCTTTGGGGCGCCACGAAGACACACGGTCTGTTGGCTTTCACACATCGTTGGCATTGGTTGGGTGTCGAAGGATCGGGTAAGCAACGGACTTTCAGTCCTCGACACGACTCGCACGATCGGTTCAATTGTTGCGCGGTCGCCGCCTGGGGTATGGCATTTGAGTCGCCTGGGGGGATTGTGGGTATTTTCGACATTTTTGGCCCCCACACCTTGCTACAAGGCGTAGTATCCGGACCACTGGTGATCGACGATAGATGCAAGGGTCGGATGATAAACTAGATCCAGATTAAGTGTGCACAGCGCGTGTTGGGGCTGACTAGGCGATATTGCTGGTCCTCAAGATTCGTCTCCAGAAGCGGCATGTAATCAAAAGTGGATGTGAAAGACGGAGATTAACATCGTCATTCCTATCTGACAAACCAGGTTTGAGAGGACTTCAGAAGTGATAACGTGGACGATATCGAGAGGATGGAAACAAAATCGATAGATCTATCCAAGGTAGAATCTGGGATGAAGACATCCAATTGGACGCCCGCCGGCAGGGGAAACTGCAGAACTCGCCATGTACCCGGTGCCGCAAGTAGTCGGAGTTGGTGCAGCAGCAGAATCCAGCTGAAGCAGTGGGACGCATACAAGCCTCAGTCATGTGAGAGTCCAGCCACAAAGGGGAAAGGCTCTTTAGCCTTTGTCTGCGCTTCTAAGGGCCAGGATGGTGCCATTGCTAAGAGGGGTTTGGCCTGTAGGAAAGAAGCCTAAGGCTAGTGCAATTTAGTCCCCTGTTCTCTTTGGTGAGCGGAAGGCCAAAGTGGAGAGATTAGATCAAGTCAGAACTATGGTACAGTTAGTCTGCCATCTTGGGTACACAGCTGGCGGGAAGATCCAAAGACCAATTAGTGCCAAATGAATGCTTACCCCATGAGAGCTACAGTCCTATGTCCCTGATTACAATTTAATGTTCAGTGTGTTGCTGGATACGGGGTGTGAAGTCCTATGCCGTTGAACGGGTTGAAGACGCCCTATACCGGCTCATAAAATGTCTCCATCAGAACAAAACTCTCAAAGTGGTAAGAGAAAAGTCTTGATGTACTTTGTAAGGGAAAAGACACGAGAGAGCCTACCTAGTTCTTGGTGCACCCCGTAGACGATACTTGATTAGTACTACTGGCCTCCCCAAATTAGCAGCGATAACCCCAAAGTCAAAGATAGAAGAGGAGGACATCCCAAACCTGACGAATCATCGGAACCGATTTCCCCGATGCGCCGGCACACTTCCTCCACATCCCGACCAATCAGGCAGTCACATGCGGCGGCATCGAGCGCCGCAAGGCACCACTTGGCCCGATGTGGTAATCTATAAGGGCCCGTGAATATCCTTGATTTTTTTTGTGGAGGCTCGTGTTTATCATGCTTCGGTTTCCTATAGCTGCTTGTCTCCTGCTAACTTTGGGTCGATCTTAAGCCAATTGGCGTATGCAAGTCACGGTCAATATCCTCTGATATATCTCACAGTCTCGTTTCGCCGGCGTTATCCTCCCCTACCACCTAACAAGTTTGTAGTTGTGACTCGACAGCTTGCCGGCAGGAGAGCAGTGCATTCGATTATCGAATGTCCAAGGCATAAGAGGATACCTGGGACACAAAGCAATCCAATAAATCTATTCACAACTATACGTAGCTTTCCTAAATCGGGCTGAGTGAGCTATTACTAGTAGCTCAGTGCTTGTGACTCTTCCACCCCTTTGTATGGCTTCATCTTTAAGGCTGACACTGCGTGCAGGCCGGTCATTAATGGGATGGTCACAGTGAAAGTAAGTCGGAAATATTTTTAGGTTTAGGCTCTACAGGAGTGTACAGGCAACATCCTCTGGATCAACTGCGTGTCATGAATCCTAAGGTTGAGCAACATTTCTCGGCAGCTTAGACCCGCCCCCGAGGATGCGATACTACCTTTTTGCGCGCTGACAAGGCATGTTCGGTAAGTACTTAGATGTTACTAGTTATGCATCCTATTTTTTGTTCTCGTGTACATGACTCGCATCTAAAACAGAGAATGTGCATATAGTTTGCTGACGACGAAAGAGACGCGATTCCACATTGTTGTGAATAGGGGATCCTGTTAGAGATCTCAATCGGTTCATTCATATTTGCTTGCTTATCTTACTAACGTAAATTCCTTTGGTCGATGCTGAGACAATGTGGTCCTTGGTCAGCGCCCCGAGACGGCAAGCATATGGCTGTGGCTTCTATTTATGTGAGAGGCCACGATAAAGGTAAAGACTGGCAGGAACCGCGAAGAGCAAGAATAGCATGATGAGCGACGATCGCCGGAGTAAATTCTAAAGCCAACGTTCTGTTCGATGCAGCGGAGGTCCCCCACTTTTATCACTGCAAGACTCCTCCCTGCCCTTACAGTTGCTGCGTGCAACGCAAAACCGTCACGCCGTCACGCCGTCACATTGGTGATGGGGGTTTAGGGGGGAAAAAAGCTTGACCGGAACAGTGATTGAAACCCATTCTCGTCATCCGTGCTAAATGTGATGACAGCAGCAGGAGGGCCAACTGTCACCTGGTAGAGACCAAATGGATGGTGAGCGGGTAATTGAAGGAAGGCATTGGGCCCTGGCGGAGAGGGGGGAAGAAATGCCGCTACATCAGGCTATGACGCGGCCCCAGTGTTTAGGGCCACTTTGTACGCATCTTAACACTATAAACTGCGAACCCAGGACAAAGGTAAACGCCATCGGACCAAGTCATTCGGAACAGGCCGTGTGAGATTCGTCATACTATTGGCCTGAGACTACGCACGCAAGGTACTAGTGTCGGTGGTTGGTAACAGTTGACTATCTACCTAGTCTAGTCGGAGATATCAAGACCGAGATGTATCGGTGTATTGGTGGTTGTATTGATGTCGTCCCAAAAACGGTCTTTCCATGACGATTTTTCTTCGTGTGAACCGACCAGGGCACATCCGTAGGTCGGACACCCAAGGAAACCAACGAAATCGCTGACACCAACGAGTCAGACAACACAAAGCGTGGCAGATTCTTCCAGGCTTTCCAGTCGGATCGGCACGGTAAGCCCAGTAAGCCCATCGCCAAGGCTGGCAAGGCTGTTCCAAGTGTTGTCCAGCGTACTCTGTAGGCCAGCTCCTTGCCACTCTTTTGGCTGGACGGTAACTGAGCACGCGACCGGGCCCTCCCCCGTAACAGTGGCACGCCGGTTTGGCGGCGGTTCTTTTTATACGTCTCTTCCCTGCCGATCGCCCTGGCGATTCGTGGTTTTTTTTCTAGGCGCCCCCCCCCATTCGTAGTCAAGTCTTCATTATTATTGACTGTTGTGATTGCTCCCTCTTATGCGCCGCACTGATTACGTCGCTTTCTCTTGATTAATTATACTCTTGCTTCTTGTTCATCATTCTTCTTCCATTTCTTCTTCTTCCCCCTTCCGCCTCTGTTCCTATTCTAACACACACATACATTTTTTCTCCCTTCTCGAACTGAGTGGTTCCTCTAACTTGTCTTCACCTCCTCCCCCTTTGGCCTTTCGGCCCTTCAACAAACTCCGCCCCATTCCGGTTTTATTAGCAGCACGGACATTCCCCGTCTTATCTACAGCATCGTGCAACCTCGGATAAGAGCATGCACTTTCCGGTCTCTCAACATTGAAAGAACAAATATCGTCTATCGTTTCCCGCCACTATGTGGTCTTCGACACCCCGTTTGCTTCTCGGCCTCTGTGGGTTTTTATGTGCCGTTGGATCAGCTAGCGCCGATGTCGATTTCATGAGTGTCCGACCTGACATGGTCAAGGATTACTCCGGAAAAGGGGGAGAACCGGGAGAGAAATACTTCAGTAAGTCTGACATGATCCTGCGGTTGCTATCGGCTTTGTCTAACAAGTCACAGAGGAATCGAGGTATGCTATAGGATCTACTTGGGCGGTGTCTTTCTGTTGGCTTTGACTAACTCTAATCGAAACTAGCTTCCACTACCACTATGATGGACGGTACGTCTGGTCCACCACGCTTGAATCCCACGATTGCTGATCCCCTTGTTAGCTTCGCAGATGAGCCTCTTTCCGAGGAGGAAACGGTTCCGCACCTGTCGGAACTCATCCGGACCTATCTTTCGACAATGGCAGACCTTGGGGCTGAAACCTGGATAATGCATGGAACTCTGCTGGCTTGGTGGTGGAACCAGAAGGTTGTGACACAAAACCATGGGTGTTTACGATGCGCCGCCCGCTAATGGATGGACAGATCTTCCCATGGGACAACGATCTCGACGTTCAAATTTCTGAGCCGACCATCCATTTCCTTGCCGATTACTACAACATGACCGAGCACCACTTTGAAATTTCAGGAGTCGACGGCGGCCGAACCTATTTACTGGAGATCAACCCGAACTATGTCGTCAGATCGACCGATGACAAGCTGAATGTGATCGATGCGCGGTGGATAGACACATCGTCTGGGCTGTTCATCGATATCACTGCGGTACGCAAGGACGATGAGCGGAGGGAGAAAGACCGTGAGCCTGGTGCTTTGATGTGCAAGGATGGCCATCGGTTTGATGTAGGTGGCGCGTGAACCGGTGACACAACAAAGTGGCTGACTTGAAGTTAGGAAACCGAGATTTTCCCACTGCGAAACAGTTACTTCGAAGATGTGCCAGTCAAGATTCCGTTCGAATACGTTCGCCTGTTGAAGAAAGAATACGGTTCGAAGTCGATGACTGCTTCCGTGTTCCAAGGGTATGCTTCTATTCAACTCCATTTCCTTCGCTCTCGCTAATGCGTGGCACAGATACCATTTCAACCAGCAAACCCAAGTATGGGATAAGATGAGGTAGGTCTGATGCACCCGGGCCGTTCGCAATTCATGCTTACACGTTCGGGTTTAGTCGGAAGAGGTACTTTGGACGACGGGAGGTCGACATTCCTGTTCGGACCACGCCCCTCGGGCGCCTGTTCAGGGGTTGATCGAGCGACTGTACGATATCGACCGAGCTCCTTTGATGCGCTTGTATCACATCGGAGCTTGTGTATGACGGTTACGATATGGACTGGCCCAGCACCTAGACTTTCGACTTTCTACTTTTCTTTGCATATACGGCGTTTGCCTTCGGTGCGCTACCAATTCCGCATGTTGGCCATATATGGCGTTTGGGAATGTTTCTATATATACTTTGGATCTTGTTTGTTTACTCGGGGACATCGGACATGGAACATCATGTGAAAACGTGGTCGCCCATATTTATTTGGGCTCCTGCGCATCAAAGCCCATTGAGTGGCTTCTGTAAATATATCATATAATACGACTTACTACTTATTAGTACTACTTATTAGTACTACTTTATGGTGCGAATGTATATAGTGAGGGTGGGTCTCAATTACAACTAATTGGGTGTCTGCGATCAAAATAGAAGTTAGTACTCGATGGACACCCTTGCTGGTTTCGTCTTGGCTCTACACTATTTTCAGCAGCCACCCCATAAGCTTGGACACTACCACAACGATATCCATTGTCAAATAACAGACGAACAGACAGGAACATCTGTCGTGAGAAGTTGTTGAATGCACTCATACCGAGAGGGGCTGACTGCGCCTTTTGTAGAATCACACAGCAGATCAATACCAAGTACCAACGGATCAAATTCTCGTCCGCGGACCTTCCGCGGACCATCAAGGAGACCAGTGCAGTTTTGAGATACAGTCGGAAAAAGCTTGAGGGCGTCCGGAAATAGAAGCGTGTTGACTTGGCCCGCGGACTTTGGCGGTTAACTCCGATTTTGATCAGATAACTACTACGGAGCACAGTGTAGGAATAATCCGGTGGTGACAAGCAGCAGCAATGACCATCTAGAATGGCGGCATCTCGCTAGTGACGTCTTGTCTCTACACTGACACTGCATGATCGCCCCGAATCCCGCAGCCAACAAAGTCCGAAAATCGCGCCGTCTCAAGCTTATTCTTTATCTTTGATTTTTGCCCTGCTCCTCCCCATCCACGTGATTGTCAGATGGGATTAGTAAAGCAGGGCTAGACGTGGCCAATCACATAGCATCAAACCAAAGCGGCGGGTCCAGAACCATCAAGGTAGAGCCAATAGCGAGAGACCATCCATCCCGGGGTTCCACTCAAGTATGAGTCGATGACCGAAGATCCAAGTCAGGCGCGACAAGTTGATAATTTATCTAACCATTATTGTTGAAGTCAAATCCTTTATTTCTCACTCTGCTTTTTTCTACCGCTGTTCCTGTGTTCTGTTCCATGTCCATCACTCCTCTACTACTACACATTCTCCCTGCGTGAGGATGCGGCTTGGTGGGGATCCTGTCATTATCAGCAACAGTTCCACGCCATGTCCACTTCGTCTGTGATCTCACCTTCAGCCCCATCGTCCCTCTCGCCCAGGAACGGGTCTGACGTTGTGCCTGGCCCGCATACCAGCCACGACGCCCACGGCATCCCCTCCCATTCCGCACAAGACCACAGCTTGCGCAGCTGCGTCACCTGCCGTCGGAGAAAAGTTCGCTGCAACAAGAAAACCCCTTGCTCCAACTGCGTTAAGGCCGGCATCCAGTGTATCTTTCCCCCGCCGGGAAGGGCACCGCGCAAAGTGAAACGCCCGCAAGATGCGGAGCTCCTGTCTCGCTTAAGGCGCCTCGAGGGCGTCATTGAACATCTTAGTGAAAAGAAAGCGACTGGTGCTGCGGCATCTTCTTCTGATACTTCTTCCCCACGTGTACAACAGCACCCACAAAATCCACCCGCACCCCCGGCTAATGCGCAGGCCTCGGCGCCTGAAGGCGACGGAGATGGCTGCCCACTTCTTATGGATGCAGCCAAGCTGGATCCTACCAGACCTATAGCGCCTCGGAATATCGAGCATGAGTTTGGTCGATTGGTTATCGACGAGGGTCGAAGCCGTTACGTTAGCAACCGATTCTGGGCGAGTCTCGGAGATGAGGTGAATACTACTCCCTGTCCTTCTCTTATATCTGTAACGATGCTAATGTCAATAGATTGAGGAGTTGCAAGATATCCTAGATCCGTCGTCTTCGGACGAGGAAGACTATTCGTCTCCCGAGACATCGTCCAGCCAGTCGGCCAACCATGATGGCTTTCTATTCGGGTTCTATTCCGTTTCCCACTCACTACACGATTTTCTTCCGCCGAGGCCCCAGATTCCCTTGTTATGGAATACCTGGTTGGAAAACGTGGCGCCCTTGATACCTATCGTGCATAAAGCGAGCGCCAGGCAGCTATTTACTACGGCTGCCCAAGATCCAAATTGCTTGGATAAGAACTTTGAGGCGCTATTTCTTGCAATGTGCATGGTCGCGATCATCAGCATGTCGCCGAGCCAGTGCTCATCTCACCTGGGAGAAGAGAGGGATGTGCTTGTCAAGCGATACCGGTTCGCAGTCGAGCAGGCACTTTCCAAAGCAGATCTTTTGAACACGCAAAACATCACTCTCCTACAGGCTGTGGTGATTTTCCTGATAGGCGTTCGTCGCGAGGACGACACCAAATTTGTCTGGTCTATGACAGCGCTTGTTCTTCGCCTTGCGCAAGGACTGGGTCTTCATCGGGACGGCACCAACTTTGGCCTGAAGCCTTATGAAACGGAGATACGCCGACGACTATGGTGGCACATCTGCTTATTGGACATCCGGGCCGCAGAGGATCACGGGTCTGATGCGCAGATTCATGAACGATTGTACGATACTCGACTCCCACTGAATATCAATGACGACGACATTACACCGGACATGAAAGAGCCTCCCAAGGAGAGAGTGGGCTGGACGGAAATGACATTTTGCCTGATTCGCTGCGATATCACGGTCGCTGTGCGTCGAGTGAGCTACACTTGTCCAAACGGCCATTTCGTTCCGGCAACTCGGCAGCTCAACCCTGATAACTGCTCCAAGATGATCCGGGCGATCAACGACCGTATTGAAGACCGATATATCAAACATTGCGACATGAATGTCCCGATTCAGTGGGTTTGCGCGACGATTGGTCGCCTCATCCTGACCAAGCTGTGGCTCGTCATTCATCATCCGATGACCAGGCCTGAACGGGGCCTAACGCTGAGCCACGCCAATCGCGAGAGCTTATTTGCTACATCAGTGGAGGTAGCCGAGTTCCAGCGACTGCTGGATGGCGACGTCAAAACGTACAAATGGAGCTGGCTCTTTGCCACGAACATGCAATGGCATGCCATTGCCTTTGTGCTGTCGGAGCTTTGTGTCCGCCCACTCAGCCCTCTTACCGACCGAGCATGGAAATGTGTGAGCACCCTGTATACAGAGTGGATCAAAAACAGCAAACAGCGGAAAGGCATGCTCTGGCGTCCACTTTCCCGCCTGATGAAGCGAGCAGCCGCGTTCAGAGCTAAGCAAGAGGAGATGCGCGCGCAGATGAGTTCCAGCATGATTGCAGCTCACGATACCACAATTCCGAATTGCCCTGGACTCTCAATTATACAGCCCCCGGTTCTGCCCCGAGCACTGGACTTTCAGGCTTCACCAACAGGCCAGGAGAAGGAGTCTTTGCGCGGTCTGCCTGAGAACGGCGGAATCGATATCGACCTGCGCGGCGGACCAGTTAACGTGATCAACGAATTATTCCCCGACACGGACTGGCTAAATCCTGCCACGGCAGCCAGCATACAGCAGCAGGAGTGCTCGGGCGCGTCGATGGACACGCTAGTGAGACCGGCGGAGCCGAGCGAGACCCAGCAGGAGATGCCTAATGCGAATCTCAACTGGGAAGAGTGGGATCAGGTTATGACTGATTTCCAGATGGACCTGCAAGCGTCCAATACGCAGAATCCTTTTGGCAACGCCCTGGATTGGCTTGCTTGATGATACCAGTTGATGTGTTGATACTTTGATGGCCCTGGTGGCTATTATCGGCATCATGGGGATGCCTCTGTACTGAATGTCTCCTCTCTATACGACCACCAAAACCTCTCCATTCACGATAATGAGAAAGTTAGCTAGGTATGAGCTAAAAGCTAATGAACGAGTTATGTATGTACTATGTGCCTTGTTGTAACGCAGCCGAGGCAGTACTTTACCTGTATCACCACCCAAGTAACGAGTATAGCAACAATGAAATGAACAAAACCACTCCTATTAAATCCCTAAATAAAAACCACTCATCATATCTCTCCCCACAGATCAACAATCAAACCAAACAATCCCCCAACAAAACAGTAATAACAGTCCCGATCTATAAATCACGTGACACCGCGTAACCACCACCCGACAGGCCAGCTTGCGTAACTATACCTCCACCTCTCCCCTTCCCCCATCCTCTTTCTCACCTTCAATCCAACAACCCCGACCTCAATTCCCATTCTCCCAGAGAAAGAGAAAAACAAAGAAGACACTAAAATGGCCCCGAAACGCTCCGCAGCAGCAGCAGCACCAGCAACAGCAGGCCCCGTCCCCGCGCCCTCACCACCCACCATGCCCTCCGCATCCTCCGCACCGGCAGCTTCCTCTCTCTCCTCCGGCCCCAAAACCCTCACCCAGAACTCCTCCATCTACGACATCGCCCACACAGTCTGGCAGCAGTACCTGGCGACCACGCCGCAGCGCACAATGCTGCTAGATGCGTTCATGGGATTCTTGGTGCTTGTCGGTGGTGTGCAGTTTGTTTATTGTGTTGTTGGGGGGAATTATGTGAGTATACCTTTATAGCCACCCCCCCCCCCCCCCCGGGTTATGGATGAGTTGGGAAGAGGGAGGGTGTAAGGATTTGGCTAATATTGGGATCTTTGTGACAGCCGTTCAATGCCTTCCTGAGTGGTTTCTGTGCTGCCGTTGGTCAGTTTGTTCTTACGGCTAGTTTGAGGATGCAGACTAGTGGTGGTACGACTTCGTCGACTGGAAGTGTGAGTGGTGGGAAGGGGAAGGCGGGGAAGAAGGGTGCTGCGGCTGGTGCTGGGGAGGAGGGGAGTGGTGTTTCGCCTGAGAGGTGAGTTTATTTACTTTACTTGGGTGGTTTCTTTGGGGTGAGACTGGATTGCTAACTGTGTGTATAGGGCATTCGCGGATTATGTCTTTGGGAGTCTGATTCTGCATTTCTTTTGTATTAACTTCATTAACTAGAGGTCATCGGGTCTGTGGGACATTGTGGATATGGATGAGATTTGGTAGAATGGATGGAAAGGTGGATATAAAGTGACAGGAGAGGAGAGGATAGGATAGGGTTCAGGCTGTTTCCCTGGTGGAGTAGCCTGGTCTGCTCTGTTTCTAATCTGAGTTGGGTGAAGGTAAAACAAGTCGAGTATCTGTTATTGCGTTATGTTAGCTAGCTACTATTTATACCTGTGTATCAATGTATGGATCTACTGTTTATCCTCAGCTTCACATAGATAGTATCAACTCGTAATCTATTCAATATATCCCTGGGTATAGTATATTCGATATTCTAGTATAATCAAAAGGCCCGTCCTGGTTTCCGCTTAATCTGCGGCTTCTTAACCACGCTTCCGCCTCCACTTCCACCGTTGCGCGCACCACCACCACTACTCGAGGCCGTCACACCCCCTACACGTCTTGCTGTCGCGACAGGCCTCCGCACAACAGACCCCACTTCAATCTCCTTTCTGCGTCTGGATGGATCGTTCCTCTCCGCCTCGCGCTGCTTCTCGGCTGCGGCGCGTTCGCGGTCCGCCGCCATCTGAGTCTCGATCTCCACGCGCCGGTTGAACTCTTGTTCGGTGATGCGGCGCTCGCGCTGAGAATATCCCTTTTCTTTGACGGAGTAGAAGACACCTCCGAGTTCGGCGAGCCACTATTACCGGATGTCGTTAGTATTTATTGTATATGGGATAGGGTGGGGACTTTACATGTGGATCTACAGCAGTCACGGTAGACATGTACTCCTTGCTGGTGAGGATCAATTCGTGGTAGACCACGTACTCCGGGACATATCCCAGACCGTAGAGAGCACTGGTCGGGTGGAGTTGCATGCTGACGCTGGTTCGGAGGTTGAGGAACTCGCCGATACCCTTGACGCGCGCGGCTTGGTGGTAGAAACCCGAGCAGATGCATTTGCGGATCTCGTCCCAGTCAGTGCCGCAACTGACCAAGGGCATCTTCTGCACCGTCATGATGTCGTGCAGCTGGTCGCGGACTTCGCGCGCCCGCCGCAGTGCCTTGGCGTGGAGGAAGTGGCGTGTGCACCAGCCGTCGGAGTAGCCGTTTGCTTTCCATTGCGTGTACACGTGGAGTAAAGTGAGGTGGTCGGATTCTGGGACGAAGAATTTCTCGCGCGCGGCGTCGGATTCTTCTTGTCGCTCTCTGGGACGGTAGAAGACGCTGGGGACGGATAGCATAGATACGATGGTTAGCATTTCCTCGCTGCAGCCGTAGGTTTCTGCGGCCGTGATGATGAGCTTCGCGAGCGGGGGGTCCATTGGGAATGGTGTCATTCGACGTCCTAGTGGTGTGAGGTCGCCGAGATTGTCGAGTGCTCCGAGTGACCAAAGCTCGAAGAGGGATGTGGTGATTGTCTCCTGGGGTGGGGGGTCCATAAAATCAAAGTCAAGGAGGTCTTTGACGCCAAGGGATTTGAGAAGAAGGACGGTGTTGGAAAGACTGGTCCGCTGGATTTCCGGAATCGTTTGCAGGTATAGCTCGTTCTTATACGCCACTTCGGTATACAGACGATATGCCTTGCCCGGTCCCGTACGTCCTGCTCGGCCAGAACGCTGGTTGGCATTGGCCTGTGATATAGGCGTGATCTGCAGAGTGTCCATGCCCATCTTGGGGTTGTACACCTTAAGTTTGGAGTACCCCGAATCCACGACGAACATGATACCGTCAACTGTCAGACTGGTTTCAGCAATATTGGTGGCAACAATCACTTTGCGCACACCAGGCTCAGCCCGTTCGAAAATTTTGGCCTGTTGCTCGGCAGGCATCTGACTGTAAATGGGAAGAATGCTCAATTTTGGCGGGTCGTTCAGCAGCTTTAACCGCTCATCAACCAGCTCGCATGTCGCTTCAATATCTTCTTGACCTGTCATGAACACAAGAATATCACCGGGACCTTGCGACACGTGGATGGCCAAGACCTGCTTGACCGCGCTGTCAACATAGTCCTCGCATGGTGTACGCGAGAAGTGAACATCGACAGGAAACGTTCTTCCGGGAATGATAAACTCCGGTGCGCCACCGTAGAATCTGGAGAAGCGCTCTGCGTTCATGGTGGCCGATGTGACGATAAGCTTCAAGTCCCTGCGTCGAGCTAGGACCTTCTTGAGAAGACCCATGAGCACGTCTGTGTTCAGCGCTCTCTCATGCGCTTCATCCATGATGATACAAGAATACTTGTCAAGGTCCTGCTGGACAAGTGACTCTCGTAGAAGAACACCATCAGTCATGTACTTGATGACCGTCTTCGGGCCTGTGCAATCTTCGAAACGAATAGCATAGCCAACTTCATCACCAAGATCAACCTCCATTTCCTCACTGACACGCTTGGCAACACTCATAGCTGCCACTCGACGAGGTTGTGTGCACCCGATCATGCCAAACTTCGAATAACCGTCCTCGTGCAGGAACTGCGTCAGCTGAGTTGTTTTTCCAGACCCCGTCTCACCAACCACAACCACAACCTGGTTATCTCGAATGACGCGCAACAGATCCTCTCGGACCGCAAACGCCGGCAGGAATTCCCTCTGCTCCCGGAGCGTCTTGCTCTTGCTGAACGAACTTTGTCCACCTTCATCCTTTTTCAGATGTTGGGCAAACTTGTTTCCGCTCTTATAGGCATCCTCCACGGGCATAGCGACCGCACTGTCACCCTCATCCTCCTTTACACCCATGAGGTTTCCCAGCGCCGTTCCTGCCATCGTTGTCGCCTCCTGCGCTTGCTTCTGGCGTTCCCGCTGCTGACGTCGTTCGCGAACCACTTTGCTTCCTTTCCGACTGAAAACTGCCATATCACTCTGCGGGTCTCGGACAGCTGAGATGGGCTCGAGCTGCTTGGTGAAGATCGTGCGGCCATCGAGGAAAGGCGGACGGAGGTCATGGACCAGCAAATGAACACGGGTGCCTTCTTCATCTTCGGGCATGAAGTCGCCATCAAAATCGCGTCTCTGGGCGACACCAGATGTGAGCATTCGGTTCGTTTCCCAGTTGTCGATATCCTTGCGCTTTGCGTCGCGCAGCTGTGGCGGGAGATTGGAGCTCTTCAGCCTTTTGGCTGGAGGCTGATCGTTGGAAGCCATGATGGTGTGTGATTTATGATCGAACAAATACGATCGCTTACTAGAGAAATTGATATGTTAATGCTTCGCAGGGGGCCACAGCTGTTTGCTCGAGCCCTCCCGCCGATAGTTGGAGAAGATGCAATCGCCGCGAATTGCGGATTCCATCGTTTCTATCGGAGTTGCGGCAAACACTGCAAACATCGCCGCCCGCTTCGTCACGTGTAACATCCCCTCGCAAGAACAGACAGAAGATAGTGTGGAAAATGTAAATCATAGAATGAGAGCTCTGGTGATTAGTTATTTTCAATTGTACTGCTTCTTCTTTGTTTCTGCATTAGTAGTTGTTTGTTCGTTTAGCGACGCAGACGGAGCTGCAACAGAGCGACGCCGCAACCACCGCCGATCCATATCGAAACTCCCCGCATCGCAACTCCGGCTTTGCAACTGCGCTTTCAAACAGAATTCGACATCATGGCCAGCCAAGCACAAGTCAACCCCAAGAGGCAACAGGGTATGTCTTTAGTTTCTATCTGATTTGCTGTCGCCATTTTAAAGAAGCCAAACTGATTCGAAGCAGAGCTCCAGCTCCAGTACTCCAACTACAAAAACACGCTACAACAATTGGCGCAGAAGATTGGTGACATCGAGCAAGAAGCAGAGGAGCATAAGTAAGCTGCCCTATTGGAGTTTTTCTTGCTTTCAGGTTTTGCACAAGAAAGTGCTTTTTTGCGCTTAGTTAGGAACAGCAACTAACGCACACTCAACGCTAGGCTTGTTATCGAAACCCTCGACCCCCTTCCTAAGGACCGGAAATGCTTTCGGATGGTGAACGGTGTTCTGGTAGAACGGACAGTTGAGGACGTTCTTCCGTCTCTCAAGACAAACTCGGATGGATTGAAGCAGGTCTTGGAGGAGCTATTGAAGCAGTACAAGTCGAAGCAGACGGATCTGGATAACTGGAAGGTAGGCAAATTAGTCTCTGGTGGTCCACGTATGTGGGATGCTAGATGGATTGCTAACTGTTCTGTTCGTTTTACAGAAGAAGAACAACATCCAGGTTGTACAGCCTTAGAAGCAACGGTGCTTGTGTTATCTCACGGTTTCTGTATCCTCTTCATGCAGCGTTATACACTGAAAAATAATATCTCTATAGTAAAATCATGTAATTCTAGACTATCCGATCTGCTATCCTGTAGTAAATCAGAAAGCATCGTAGATGAAGGTTAAACTAGGCATGCAGCAAGTAGTATACAAAATACCATCATTGAAGACAAACTTGGGGAGGGCCTGCGTTACTAATCTGCCCTTCCGCCAGTCTTCATCTACAATCACACTTGAGCGGACAACGTATCCATGATCTAGCATCATCAAGATGAAATCGCTTCGCTGCGCATCTACATCTAGGAATATGTGACAGCATGTCACAGCGCCGCCAATTCTCTAGTTGCGATCCATGCCGTCGCTCCAAGCGACGCTGCTTTTTCGCCTCTCCCCGAGGAGGGAAGTGTACTCATTGCCAACGACTGGGCCATTCATGCACCTTTGACTTTGCCAGATCCCGGAAAGCAAAGCCCAAGCAAAACCTAGTGCGGTCTTCCCCGTTGACAAATGGCAATGAGCTACCAGAGATCCCACTTCTAGGCTTTGGCAGTCCTGATGGTTACTATCAAGCCGGCTCCACGCCCCCGGGGGATACGCTGGCCCCGTGGTTCAACCTCGGCGAAGGCCATAATGCACAGGAGAATCATGACGATATCCTGGACATTGATCTGGCGAAACGACTGACGTCGAATGTTACACATCCAACGCAAGTGTCAAGCGAGGCGCAAATGTCCGTCCGCAGCAATTTGTCGGACAGAGTGCCCTACGCGATGCCGTTTCTTGCCGGTAGTTCACTGACGAGTCCTGTTCGTTTGCTGAATTCCAAGGTGGATGCAACTATCTTAGATGATCGGCTGGCAAGAATCTACCATGCCATCATCACGGGATGTGCTTCTCGGTTTGTAGACTACGACTGCAATCTGTATGCAACGACGTCACACTATCGATTGCAAAGTTGGAGTGAAGGGTCGTCGCAAAGGCATACGCCTGCTACCTTGGATAATTCTACAAACACACCGTTTACTAATACCCCTGCTTCGGTTGCACAGCTAAATGCCATCTCCTTCCCGGATTCGGAGATGCCATCAAATGATGTCTCCTGCACGTTCACTGTCATCGGGGCCGTCCGTTTCCTTGATCATTTCGCTGGTCTCTACGGCAATCGACTCAGTGCAACCGCGCGTAGACAGTCTGATGCCGCGCTGAAATCAGTGCTTCGCACATTCTCCCTTCAGTGGCTACCTAGCGAGAGTACATCAGCAGCTGATAGTATCTTGCAGGACAGTATTCACGGGATACCCACGAGCGAGGCATCCAAGAACGCATTCTACGATTCTTGGTTTCAGGCACGGGAGATTATCTCACAAGCACAGTCTGTCCGATCGTTCAGGGTCGTCTATGCTATCCTGCTCTTTTGTGGAATCACCATACCGGCTAAAGCTCCAGTCGAGTCAGCCCGCAAATTCCTTGACAGCGGCCTGCAAAGCCTTTGTTCGCTGAATGAGCTTATCAGGCAACACTGTCATACTCTTGGAGCACACTCCATATACAGTGGTCTGCTGGAAGCCAGTCTCAATGCCGTGCATTGGGGTGGATACATTCGTGACCTTGGGGCATCACTCACCACGAATCGTCCATGCAGACTGCCTATTCCGGGTCACAGTAAAGGTAAGCTCATCTGCCATGGGATTTAGCCTCAGCTACAGAATCTGACTTGAATAGTGCTTTTCAGTACTGGCTCGGTCTTGTCCACATTCGATTGGACCAATGACCACTGTTTCCCGCCCGGTCTGGATGACAGCATCGCATGCATTTGTCAAAAGGCAGTTGCTGAGGCGTTTTACATCTGCAGACAGATAATCGAGGTCAAAAACCTACTACACTGCGATGCGTCTTTGTTTTGCATGGAGGATGTTGCCTCAACAGTGGCAGCCGTGAGCAAGTTCAACCACCAGTTCCGCCCGTTCATTAACTACTGCATCAACAACCTGGAACGTCTTTCCTTACCCTCTAGGACAGCTTCCGGTAGGAACTTAAAGCACTTGCTCTTCTCATTTGCTGACTATTGAACAGTCTCGCTCGTATTATTTTGGGACCTGAGTACCCTCATCTTAGCCGAGGCGTTGGCTCTCGACAGGGAGAGCGATTCTGTTGACGACACTATCATCACAAGCATGCGCATTTATCAAGCTGAAGCGGTGTCATCAGTCACGAAAACAGTAGAATGCGTGCTCTCGCTAGCGCCCGACTCCGCCTTCAACATTGAAAACGGTCTTGATGCCGAAGTCCCTCTCATCGCCTATCACATTACCCCGAGCTTAACGGCAACGGTCTACCAAAAGTCCATTGAGACCTTGATGCACTTTCAGCAATCGCCGCTCTATACTGGAGAGATAGTGGACGAGGATTGGCAAGGTCAGGTTGATATTGTGCTGAAAGGTCTCAGCTCACTAGGCGTGACCGTTGGCGGATCCGAGGCGGCCGAAAGAGTTTTGCAGTCACTAATGCCGCGATATGGAGACATTCTCTCTGAGTGCTGGACCTCTGATTTTTGCACTTGATTGGTGTTCCCCGCCACATGTGAAGTACAGCGGATCCGACATGCGGCGTCGGCTAGGATGTACCGGCGAAGCTAGAGACTACAACCACGCTCTATACAAGGGCAGTGCCATTATGCCTATTCCAAGGCTAGGGAAATTAAACAGAGGTGCAAGCGCTGCGATCACGAAGCTTAGCTTACTTGCAGCATGTTGAGGATGCCACTACTATTATCCTGCCCAGATGCGGGATTCTGTTCGCCGCAGTAAAGGAAGCCCAGGCACCCTATCTTCCCAAATAAACGCTTATTATACCAACAACTAATGCTGCAATATTAAATTCCACATGAATCCATAGCATACATACTGTGAGTCTCATAGTTCCTTCTGTCCGCATATATCATTGGAATGTTATCGGATCCGCTCTGTCGGTTCCGACTATCGGTTCCGCAATCCAGAACTTTTCTCGAAATGCAGTCTTCCTATCCTCGATATCATTGAACAATTCCTAGTTTTGTTACTGGCAATCAATTGGCTTCACTTCTTCCAGAGTCAATTTTCTTACTCTACCCAAACAACAATCCACCCTTATACAAGCCTTCCCAGCACCTACCGTCCCAAAGATATATATCACACCCCACACTACCTTCTATATATACTACAATACTACAATGTCTACAACTACAACCACACCACCCCTCCCAACCCTAATCTTCATCCCCGGCGCCTGGCATCAACCCACCTGCTACTCCAAACTCATCACGCACCTGCAAACCCACCACCCAGACCTGCACTGCACCACCATCACCCTCCCCTCAACAACCGGCGACCCCGCCGCCACATTCAAAGACGACCTCGACGCCACCCGCGCCGCCATCATCACCGAAACAATCCACCACGGCCGCAATGTCGTCCTGATCGCGCACTCCTACGGCGGCATGGTCGCCAACAGCGCCATCAAAGGCTTCACCTCGCCCTCATCACCCTCATCCGGCATCATCATCGGCCTAATCCTCATAGCCTCCGGCTACACCTTAACGGGCCTCTCCTTCATGGACCCCTTCCTAGGCCACCCGCCGCCCTCCTGGCGCGCAAACCACACCACCGGGTTCGCCGAGGTAGTCACTTCCCCGCGCGAGCTCTTCTACCATGACCTCCCCGAGGAAGAAGCCCGGTACTGGGTATCGCAGCTCAGACCGCAAAGCCTGAAAGCGCTGTTCGAAGGCGGCGAGTACTCGTACGCCGGGTGGAAGGATGTCCCGAGCTGGTATATTGGAACTGGGGAGGATAAAGGACTGCCGGTACTGATGCAGAGGGTAGGCGTGGGGATGGCGAAGGGGATGTGTCCGGGGTTGAGGGTGGTGTATAGGGAGGTGGAAGGGGCGAGTCATTCGGTGTTTTTGAGTCGGGTGGAGGTTGTTGGCGGGTTGGTTTGGGAGGCGCTGGGGGGGTTTATGGGGAGGGAGGTAGAGGGGGATGGGGATGGGGATGGGGATAATTGGAAGAGTCAGGGTGTGGTTGTGCCTGAGGCGGATGTTTGGAGGGTTTCGACGTGGTTGAAGTATGGAGTGCCGGCGGTTTTGGGGAGGGTGGTGGGGTGGGGGTTTGGGTTGTATGGCTGGGTTAGGGGTGGGTAGTAGATATGTCTGTACTATATGGTATGGAGTTGTTGATTAATGTATATATGTGGCTGTGGGTTGTCTGGTTCTTGTGGATCGGGTTCGTTGTCTCTTGCTTAGTTTCGCGTCTAGGAAATATCTTCGCCTTCATGTGATGACAGTCACTGTCCACGGTGTGTGTATGGATGTATGTATGATCCTAGCGGTGTAGTAAGAGGAACTGATACATTACAATAGATAGAAGCACACTGCCTGTATGATGAAATCCAAGTAATCTATGCCATCATACTACGTCGTTCCATCCGTCTCATGTTTATCTGAACTCCTACTAGTCAAGAACTACTAACGTGTGATGTATGACTTCACCGATAGAATCACCAGGAAGTATATACCGAAGATACACATCGTATCACACTACTATTAGCAGGAGGCAAGTATCCACCATCAACCTACGTACCCAACCCTTCCTCATCATCAGCCTTTACGATTGGGACACTAAGGACTCTCTGAACAACTAATAGTTATATACGATCTTCGAACTGCATAGATACCCGAACCCGGGGCAGTTCTTTATGCCTGAGAAACCTAAATTTAAATTGAAGCAAGGGAAAAAAATAGAAAAAAAAATCACGTCTATGGTTCGTTTGTTTCTTCTTTCCTCTGTAGTAAATAGGGTGGGAGTCATGCAAAGCCCACCCACATTTCAGCATCAATTTCGTCATTCGTGATCGTCATCATGTACTCCTAAGTGTGTTCAGTCCTACCGCCGAGATTTCATTCATGGCCACACCATCCAAAAAAAAAAAACCAATACCAAGCAATCCAAAAAGCCAAAAATGCAACCAACAGGGTGAACAGATAGCCCTGGTCCGAGCGCCGACTGAGTGGCGGATGTTGTTATAGTAATAAAAACAGGTATATCGTAGTGGTAAGAAAAAGGGGGAGGCGAAAATATCAGAATCAGTAGGGGTAAATGACAAATTATGACATGGTACTCATCGAACATGGACCGTATACGCAAAACAGTGATAGCTGAGAGGGCGGGTAGCATGCATTGACGTCTAACGGTCAGACATGTAAGACGTCAAGGCATGCTAGTGCTCAGAGACTATCGGCGAAGAAAAATGAGCTTCTAGAGCGGGGAGGTGTGTGAGGGTAAGAGTGCGGCTTGCTCTTGCAGCAAGTTGTGTAGTTCAACGGATGTGGTCAGTTGTAGACCTGACTCCTCGAGTCATCAACGGCGCTCATCCAGCATATGTGGATTGCCGCCGTTCGGGGGGCGGAACCGGGTACTCCTCGTATGGCTGTCGCATGTAAGCATCGCGGGATGGGATGTAATCTGGCCCCACCTCTCGCGCATACCTGTACTCTTTGTCCTTGGGTGAACGGATCTCGCCATACGTAGGCCGGCTCGAGGATTGCCGGGACATACTGGGACGAGCAGCGGACTCATAGCGCATGTGTTCTGTGGGGTAGGTGTAGGTGCTACTCCGAACGGGAGGCTTCGGCATAGGGCGCTCTTGATGTGGCGGTGAACCCCCCCTTGCGTATCTTGGGGACTTCTGGGGTAGTGGTATACTGGGTTCTCTGAGCACGGTGTCCGGTTCCGTCACAATCTTGTAGCGAGTCGACTTGGGCGGACTCTCGCCGGCTGCCATTTCTGGCGTGCCTGGACTCGAGTAGCCGGAATCGTACTTGTCCGTTCGCAGTTTCGCTGTCCGACTCGCTTCATGAACCATGTTATGCAGTGGATTTTCTCGACTCATTCCCCTGGCGCGGGAATAGGATTGTGCAGCGCTCGCAGAGCGTGAGGGCTGGAGGGATGGCCGGGCCGATGAAGGAACCTTCACTGACGGTGAAGTTGCCGTAGTCGGTATGCTAGGTATCTTGACGTCGTAGGACCGGGCCTGGGCCTCAAGCTTCTCGTATGATCCATTGCGAGAGCTACTTGTACGAACACTCTCTTTGCTCGGTCGTTTCGTGCGGCCCGAGTGTCGTGACGAGGAAGACTCCGGATCAGCGGATTCGTAGCCATGATTGCGCGGGGGCGAGCGGGACGCTTGCGGACGTCTGTCGATTTCGATAGGAACGGTTCCCTTGGAGCGCCGAATGTAATCTTTGGCGGTGTGGTGTAGCTTGTCATGCTTCGACTCATAGTCGTCCGTGTACTCGTCTTCGTAGCGGGTCGAGGTATGGCGGCGCGGGAGGTCAGCCGGTCGGGACTTGCGAGAAGATGACTCCCGGTTGCGCCTTTCCGAGGGGCGCTTAACCTTCACGTAAACCGTGGACGAGGCGCTGGAATCAGATGCGCCGCCATCGTCTTCGGAGTCGCTGTACGGAACGGCCCGCTCATACTTCTCGTAGGCATCCCGTTGTCGTTCCCTGGTACGATATTTGGCACGACTGCTGTGGGTCGTCCTCGAATTCTCGCGAGCCATATCCTTCGCCGCACGAGTACTAGGGCCATCGCTCTTGCTTTTCTTCTTCTCGCTCGGGGGTTTGGAGGAGTATCGTTTCTTATACTCATCGTATTTCCGGGAGGTTGAGCGCGACTCTTCGGAGAATTGGAGATCGTCATCGGAATAGGTGGCTGCATCAGCCGGCGTCCTCTCCTCGTAGTACCGTCCGTTGCGATACTCGCGAGGGCCACTCGAGCCACTTGCGCGCGGGGCGGGATAGGCAGATGAACCATTGATCGGTACACCTTGCTCATGCATTTGGCGACGTAGCTCAGCCAGCCGAGCCTTCGCATCGTACTTGGCCCTTCTCGTCTCATCCGAAAGGGTCTCGTAGGCCTGCTGCACCTTCTGAAATTCATCCTGAGCTTGACTTCTCAGCGACTCATCTTTGATCTTATCGGGGTGACATTTCAACACGAGCTTGCGATGGGCAGATTTGATATCCGACAAGGCCGCATCCCTTGCCACCCCCAACACCTCATATGGATCGATATCTGGCGCGGCTGCCATGGTCTGCAGAAGACACTAGTGGGAGATGGGGTAGAAAACATAAAAACCAGCCTCAATGTAGGATCGACAGGTGATTTAAATAAACAGAGTGATGATAAATGCAGAGCGACAGGAAAGCGACAAGTGCCGCGGTGTGGCGTTGTATATAAGAAGCGTGGAGGACAGCAGAAGCGGTAAGTACCTGAACGGAGGGAGGCGAAGCCGGAGGGTTGCAGCGATAGCGCGGATGTGTAAGGTACGCAGAGATGGACAAGGCGGGCGGATAGACGGCTCGATGGGGTGACGTGGGTGCTTGACGATCAATGGCGCATAGTCAGGATTGTCCCGATCGGATATGCGGCCAATTCATGGAGAAGGCCGGAGAAGACGAAAGAAGGGGAAAGGGGAGAAGCAGGATGACAAAAGGGCAGGGTGAAACCGGCAGCAGAAGGGGGAGTAAGTAGGAAGTGAATTGGGATGGGATTAATGAGTAATAATGAGTAAAAGGAGAGACACGGGGAGTTTATGATGAGTGAGAATATGAACCATGCAGAACCAGAGTCACTAGTAAAAGTCCGGTTGGAGTGCTGCAGCAGGATAAACCAAAGAGAGAAAGCGAGAGGGTGGAGGGGAGGGGGGGAAATAGCGAGGCAAAATAACCCAAAATAATGAATTAGTTGGTAGACTTCAGGTATGGTTACTGATGGATGCCCCGGTGTATGGCAGGAAGACTCCCAAGTACCCAAGAAAAGAGAGGGAGGGGAGGGGGGAGGGGAACAGCTGGGGGCAGTACTTGGCCCGGGTAATTTCGCCCAGCAAACCAGACAAGAAATCAATCAGTCAGTCAGTTCTGGCGGGTCAGTGAGAGTAAGGAGAGTGGATGCACTCCAGTTCACTCAAGACTCAGGGAGGGGAATATTCCTATCTGGTCGGGAGAGGCGAACCAGTTGCTGAGGGGCAAAAGGGGAAAAAGTCAAAATAATACACAGTACAAGACAGAGAGAGAGAAAAATCAAAGGGATTTTCTCCCCAACGGGCAAATACCGCCAAACAATGGGACCCAAGCACACTGCGCCACGCTGGTTTACTGGAGACTGAGAGAGCAAGCTAAAAGTAGAGAAAGCAGCCAAATCGACTAAGACTAAAGGATGGTCAGATGAAGTGGCACCACGTTTAGTCAGGGTTGCTGGTCGAGTGAGGTAGCTGGTCAGACGCCAACGTCGATGAATAACGCGGATTAGAAGACGCTCGATGATGCCACCAGCTGCGCCTGGTTGGATTGTCCTTGCTGGGTTTAGGCCCGCCAAATAGGAAGTATATCGGTTGTATAAGAAGTTGGCAAGTAGTAGTAGTAGTACTAGTAGTTAACTTAGCAGCAGGGAGGACAACTGGTTGAAACAGGATTGGCAACAATGACGATATAAGAGTCGGATCGTCTGGGTTAATCTTTCTGTAGCAGTGATGATTATGAAGATGAGCAGCAGGAGGATGGCAATGAAGGTATGATAATGATCCTCTGCCTTTGAAAGTCCTTCGTGCAGAGGGAGCCAACCGATGGACTGCAAAGCAGCGGTGAAGTGGGAAACTGAAACCAACGATGGGGTCTTGTCACAACGAGGAAGCCCAAGGGCCCGCTTTGCGAGGGACAACCACCGTCAACAGGTAACTTGCAATGGAGAACCAACGATGAACGATTGGCAAGGAGCGGTCAATCATTGATGCCTTTGAAGAGGAAAGCAGGATGACGACAGGACAATTGGTTCATACAATGTCCAGGAAGGAGATAACAGGAGGCATAAGAATACAGGATACAGGATCGAAGATTATTATTATAAAACAGCCACCAGAAGGTGATCTAGAGAATGAGACGTATCATCCTGCAAA